TGCGCCATTGAGCCATGAATTATGCTAAGTATTCACTATGTAAAGATCACCTAGTTTGCAATGGCTTCCAGGATTAGCTACCCCCATCTTAACGATAGGGAGGAAACGGACACGTTGCGTGGAGCACGTTTAGTTGGGCTGTGCTTTACTGGCAGAGAGCTTAGTAATTACGATACAATGTGATTATTATTATGCTAAGCAGGGATTATTGATCGGCGGTTGTCTCCTTTACTTACTCCACTACGTGACAAGTAACATGGCCGCACCTTCGAGTCTCTCTAGATGCGGATGGCATTTCTTTATTCAGCATGACGGTGTTGTACACACCACAACTCTGAGTTACAAAATAAAAATACGCCTGTAGCGGATTGCTACACTAGTAAAGCCTGACCGACTCAGAAATCTCTATGGCAGATTCTCCTACATCTAGCTAAACTCCCAGAACCAGCTAAGCTATAGCCCAGCTATGAAAGGAAACAGACGTGTAGCACGGAGCACGTTTACTCAGTGAGTATATTGCGGATAAAGGTGTGCACGCAGGGAGGTACTCATGATCAGGATGGGGGATTAGGTTAAAAAAATGGAGGTTAATGATTGGTCACTGTTTTTACGGCCGCTGTACACAGAGTTGTACGGTCGCACCTCCCAATCCTGGTGAGCAGACATGAGGGCATACGATGACGCACGAAGCGATAACGTGTCCCACACGCCGTTACCTTGCAAAATTGGAGTCTAGGCATAAGTCGCCACAAAAGTATTTATTTATACAAAATGGCAGGCGTTTTGATAGTTATCAGTAGCACTTTAGTTAACTTCGGGCTTTGCAGAGGGGAGGAGGAACATCAAAGTGAGAAGTATTCGAGAGGGTGAATAGAAGAGTGATTCACCGATGTAAAAGAAACAGACAGACACAAAAGCATAGAAAGAGTAAGATGAGTACTCTGGTAAGGATCGAATATGACATACAGTGGGGGTGATGGTAGTTTGAAGTGAGAAGTCAACTACCGGTTAATAGACTTTTTTGCCGAATGAGTATACGTTGCCCAGGGTGCACCACGAGGAGGTAAGTCTATCCCACACCCCGCTACAAAAATATTAAACTGTAAAAGCTCACTTAGTCTCTTTAGTTAATTAAAAAACTTCCCTTGAAGGCAAATTTCAAAATGTCATTCAACCTCACAAATCTAGTATCACATTTTGCTGACCTTACTGAAAAAACTGCTGAACTCATTTTCTTCAGAAAAACTTTAATCAGTTTTAAATAGCGTGCTCGTTACGCTAAGGATCTAATTTGTAATCGAATGCAGTTCTAAAAATCTTGACAATCGTTCCGATCATTTGCATTTGATATTTCTGTTTTGATTGTGGGTTCGTATTAGACCAAGTAGTTTGCTAGTTGTGTCTTACCGCCATCTCCTCTCCATTTCAAATATTTTGGTTCCATTTTAATAGAAAATGAAATCTAAACACTTATTGCAGTCTGAATACCATGCTAAGGTAACAGTACACTTATGTTTGACCTGTTGTTTTTACTCTTTTACTTTTTTATTTTTTAATGTGTATGAATATTTTCTTTCCACTTTAGAATGGTCCAAGAATAGCGGGTAGGTTTAGCCACTTTTGACCTCAATTACAATTTTGAATTTCGATAGAATTTAACTCTCCGATGGAGGATGAATTGGATAATTACGACACGGAAACTATCTCTGTCATACTGCCCGATGAGGCACTAATGTTCTTTCTGCATACTGTTGGTGTGCTAACGTCCAAAAAGGACTCCACACCTGCGATAATAATGCCTTCGAACGTAAAATCTCAGGAAAGAATTCATTTTCTAGAAGAAAAAGGCAGCTTCCTCTGTGTGTGGGATGAGTCGACGTCAAGTTATGCAATCGGCCACGTGCCCAACGGTGGGTACTCATTGGCTTCGATAGAAAGTGCAGAAAGCGGAACAAAGGTCCAATTTCTTCGGCCACAGTCAGAAGAAGTCATCGCTCTAACATCTAGAGATCTTGTTGGGAGAATCGATGGCCCTGTGATTGCGAAGCCTAGTAATTATAAGAATCAAATAGTTCCCTTGAATGTCTCATCGATCTCCCAATCTGGTGTGTCCTTTAAAGACCTCGCAAATATTGTCAATGCAATTTATTGCATACTGCCTCATCCTCACCAAGGTACATTTGCGTTTTCATTTTCTCTTTATATTCAGAATTTCCTTGGGAAAATCGCACTTGTATGTGCCAACAACGAACGCTCCAACAAATGGAAAATTCAAAATCGAATGAAAATGACAATAAAGTTAACAATGAAAAGGTAAAAATCGCCAAAAATGGCACGTGAAGTGAAGTTTATATCGATTTGTAATGGTTTAACGAAGTTATTTTAGAAAAAAATGACTACCAAGAATTGGATATTCTCAGAATTTTGTAATTTGAAAAAATGCTTTTAGCATTTAAGAATCAACGCCTTGGATTGTTTGAACTCGTTGGTCTTTCTTTGTATCTAGCTAGCTTTCTCTTTGTCTAACCATCATGCGGTTTTTTTCTCGTTTTATCACATCAAAAGCATTTAACAGAAAAAAATGTGATAGGAAAATTTGGCTGCATCTTAAAGTCAACTTGTACCTCTCCTGACAAGATTAGTTCATTAGTTTCCCTATTATCCTTCGTTCAAGTCAAAAATTAACGAGTCCTTTTCCAGGCAGTTCTTCATTTATTGGCATTTAAATGGAAAAACTGCATGCATCACTGTGTCCCTCTCTCTGTTATTGATTTTCGATTCTTCATGCTCTCTAATGATTTCTCCCCCCATGTGCTATTAAGTTTATTGATCAACCAATCGCCTTTAAGTTACTAAACTCCTTTTCATTGAATCAGAAATTTAAACATGCCTTAACTAAATCAATAGCTGATTTTTTGAAATTTGTTAGTACCGCAAATGGATGTTTTCATTTTCATTTCAGACTGAACCAAGCAACTTGAAAATATCCGCACCTAGACTCAACTATTGGCCTCAGTTACAAGACCGAAGCGAGAAGACTAAATTAAATGTAATCGATTGTGATGATGATGATGACAACAAAGAAGGGGATTCAATAGAGTCTGTCAAGTCTCCTGAATACACGTCCAGAAATTGTTCTGAGGTTTGTGATTAATTTAATTTAATTTTCATTAATTTATTTCTTTTCATTTGTTTTATTTCTGCTAATCATCTAGGAACTGGTTCCTGATTCGAAAGTGACATTGGAGAAAGACGAGGATTTATTTGAGGAAAATTTGGAAGAAGAAGATCGTACTTCTGATCATGAAGACTATTCCAAAAGCTCACCGGAATCGGACTCAGAAGCCAATTCATCCCAAACGTCAGACTATTCTGAGGTATTTTCGTAATACCATCTTTGTTTTTTATTAAATTTTTATCATTATATGTTGCTCTCGGCACTATGAGGTATATTGATTCTATGTCTTGATTACGTCTCACGGCTGCGATTTCCTATGGTCCAAGTCCCCCTCTTCTCCCCCCCCCTTCCCCTTGATTGTACTTCTAGTGAGCGAAACGGTCAATTCAAATAATTAAGGCTAG